ACACAAAACTTGTGGTGCAGCTGGTAAATATCAGGACCACAGAAAGAGAGCTTACCTCCCCACCTCCTCTATGACAGGAGCAGGACAAAGCAGGAACGTGTCCTCTATTCCAGTGGGTCTTTCATCTTCACAGGAAAGAACAAACAAAAAGCAAAACCACTCAGTAATTTTTCTTCCTCGTGAAATGCAAAACATTTCAAAGCCTAACAGGCATCCAGATTTGAATAAGAAACAATACAAGCTTTGGTTCCAGCACTTCTAAGGGATTTCTCTGGAAAATCATTGCATCAGATTTTTGCCAAAACCTTTGGAAATTCTTCACCCATGGTACTAAACAAGTCATGACAAGCTAAAGAGCAAAATTTTCTGTCTAAAAATACAAGTCTAGTGTGCTCCGTACATTTTCCCATCCATTCTGACCAATCTCCTTCTCCCTGCTGAACAAATAAATGCCCACAGCATGATGATGGCAACACCATGTTTCACCATGGAAATGAAGTGATCAGGGTAATATGCAGTGTCATTTTTTTCTTTGCGTTTAAGCCAGAACATATAATTATTCATTCCAAAATGATTTCCTTTTAACCACACCTTTATAAAGTCAGATTAGTTGAGCCAGTTGTTTTCCTTTCAGGGATATCAAACTAAAGGGTTCTGAATTCAAATGTGTGCCATGTAAAATTCAAAGGGGGCAAATACGTTTGCAGGGCACTGCATAAACATAACTATTTTTATTTGTCACTATACCATCCTGCTCCCCTGGCTGCACAAACACATCCTGCCGTATGTGAGCACAAAGAAAATTTCAGTACAGCTTCATAAAACAAAACTTTTGAAGATCCTTTTTGCCCTGTTTGAAAGTATAAGTCTGTTTGAATGAATGTCCACATGTGCATAACTCACCCACACTATGCGTATCGTTGAGTTTGAAGCTGCAGAGGACCTGGTTGATGTTTCTCGCATGGAGGAAACCATTACCTCTAACGACCACTTGGAACCTCTCTGGGAAACAAACAGAAGGCAAACCAGCTATCAGGAGAGATTGAGAGCATGTACATTTGTGGTAATGAGTGTATTTTCATCTGAGATGGTCATAAAACATCAAGATTGTTCTCATATTCTGAATGTACAGAAAGTAAATCGTTCAAGTGTGCAATTATGGCGAATCCTGACAGCCCTTCCTTTCTCTGATGTACTGAGCTAAATCTGCAGAAAACCTGTGCATGCTTCATTACTGTTTGTTTACATCTGTGTGCTTGTGCGTGCATGTGTGGAAAGCCCATAATATGCTCCAGTGGTGCTAATGTTAAAAGTGCTGCTATTCACAAATATCCCAGACAGAGAAGCAGCCAGGAGGAGTGTGTGGCTGTGTTCATGTGTGTGTGTCTGACCTTTAGTTTCCCCAAGGCACTGTTAAAGTGCACTGACAGAAGCTTGCCAGCATATGCTGGAGTGTCTATGTGGCTGCTACCCAGCATATGTTAAAGAGCGAGGGGGGAACCACTTTCCTAAAAACATGCCTGGAAGGCTGACAACCGCACTGTCAAAGTAGGTCTGACCTTACCTATGGCACCATGGCATACAGGCATGCACACATGTCTGTGTGGAGGCAAACGTGTTTATATTGTGTTTTTTTTAAGGAATGTGTAAGCATTTATCCTCTGTAATTGCAAGCAGGAATATGAGTGTGTCTCTTTGTGGTTTCTCAAGCACGCATGTGCACTTAAGATTCCTCCAGCGGTATCTTTGCTAATAGAAGTGAACATTTGCCACACCTTTATCACTCAACGCTGCAGCGTGAAGATCACTGAATAAAAAGATCACTGGGAGAGGATGTATTCGTGGCAGCCCTTCCTTAAAGGTCAGACAAGCTGCTACGTAAACTATAACGCACATTTATGCATGAAGAAGCACAGCTGACAGCAAAACCCCCCACCCCCCAAAAGGCGGTCGAGTGAAGGATTGGATTTAGAGGTTCTTCAGAGAAAAGAGTGATGATGTTTGAGATTTATCAAAGTAGGGATATAAGGCGGCGTTACAACAGACTTTAGATCATCCACATCACTGCAAAGACTGCACCTCCGTTTCAGAAGACGAATCCAACCTCGACAAGATAAGACCCCCCTTAGGTTGCTTTTCCTCTGACCTCATCATGCTGAATGGCTTAGCACATGTGTGTGCAAACTCAGTTGCAGATGTTCAGTGATTTGCAGCATGTTAGTCACTGGTTGTCATTTCCAGCTTCAGTAAAATCTAAATGTGTTGACATTTAGACCACATGACTGTGCATCTCCTTCAAAACACGTAAATTGTCATTTCAATAAATAGATATCTTCTCAAATAAATGTAATGTGAAATATCATATAGTGTTTCATATAATATAATATAATATAATATAATATAATATAATATAATATAATATAATATAATATAATATAATATAATATAATAGGTTAAGAGTAACACAGTTTGGCTGTGATTTAGCAGTCTGTAGTGTGACACGTAGCAAACAATGTATTCCTTCAATGTATTCATTAATCTAGCACAGCTGACTATTATTAAAACTACTAATGTTTAATTATTGCAAACATTTTTTTTGTTGATGCATTTATTTATGACATTTTCCTTCATGCACATTCCTTCTCTTGACTAAACATATACCAACAACTTTTTTTTTTTTTTAAATGTCAGACAATAGTCCAACTAAGCGCTTTCTGCAAACACTGACAGTTGACCAGCTGAAAGGTCAGCGCTGTCAGACACATGGTGGGCACATACTGGTGTTACTCCACTGACACACCACCCGCCTGGCTCTGCTTTCTTGTGGTCGCCTGCCCTGGTGATCACAAGTCCCTTTGCATCTACACCTGAACGCCTGAGACGGATTTGATTGGTCTCAGTGCGCGTCTCTGTGTTGACACACTTAAGGAGATATTCATGTATGTCCTTTTGTCTGAGCATGTGTGTGCGTGTCGAAGACATGGCATGACTTGTCTGAACTGTGTATCTTCAATCACGCTAGTGAGAAAGGACACTGAAACGCAGGGAGGGGCATATAAAGGAAGGGACAGCAGGGAGTTAAGGGTCAGACGTTAATGAAAGCAGCAATCTCTGCTGTCATGTTGGATCTCAGGCCAAACCCTCGCTTTCCTGTGTATGTGTGTGTGTGTCATGTAGGGGGAATCGGTGCTGTCACGTCAGATAGTGTGGCCCGGTGTTCACTGTACAGTCTGATGGCCTGTTCGCAGGCAGCTCGGTCTGGTCACTTCACATCAATGTGAGGGACATGTGTTTACGTGCTTCAAGAACCATGTATGCGTGTGAATGTGGCTGACTACAAAACACCCAACCATGTGTGTTAGTTCAGAAGATGCGTCAATATGCTGCATGGATGCAGATGAAGAAGCAGACAGTGTCACAACATGCATGCAGAACGTTAGTATGTTTGTAAATGTAAATGCAAGAGATGTAGATGTAGGATTACAAACTAGTGACTGATTTCTGCTTCAACGTAAATACTTAATAACAGTGTTATGTTCTTATGATGAGGCAGAAAATATTCTATTCTTCAATAGCAAGTCAGTAAGATCTGACTTAAAAATGTTGTTTAATTAGGCCATAATCAGGCTTTGGTCTCTTGATTTCTTAGTTCACTGAACATTAGGAGATTCATCAATCGAATAATAAATGAGGCTGTAGCAAGATATTTCGGCACGTCTAGTGAGACATGCTCAGACTCCGAGACCAGAGACAGTAATTATATCTGGTAATAACAGAGTTTTTTCACTGTGTTTTATTTCTAATGCAAGATATTTCTCCAGTCTCCTCCTCTAACATGCTTTTCTCATTCATCATATCCCATAATGCGAGGTAATCTCCATTAGCAGCCCTGGTAGAAGGCCCGCAGATGCAGTCTCTTAAGTGAGTCCTAATAAGGTCATGTCAAAGCTCATCCATCGTGCCGGCTGCACATAAAGGATCTCTCTCAGCATTTCCTCCGCTGGTTCTGGCTTGCTTGTGCATCATACAGGAAGGAGCACCATTGGAGAAGGAGTAGACAATAGAGCTTGAAACAATCTCAAAGGTCTGTTTAGCATACCCAATGTGGCAAACTAGGCCAGAGATGCAGCCATGCTTAAAGATTTTTTTTTTTTTTTGCACACATGCTGCGCTGCAGCAGCCATGCTAATTTCCTCTGGCTGTGAGTGACAATACGCTCCCTGTCACTCTGCGGTCATGAGCATCCATGCAATTACTTAACCTCATGTTCCACTAAAAAGGCTTTCGATGACTGACACAATTGCTCACGCCATCCCCAGTTTTAACCAAGACCCTCACGGCTCAGACCTCTTACCTCCCGCACAGACACTGGATGGCTCGGCTGCCAGTATCTCAATGCAAGACTTCTTGATTATCTGAGAGCCACAAAGGGGGAAAAAAAATAACACGTGAAATTTCGGGATCCAATATTCTTTAATGAGTCTTCCTGTGTGGGCGAGATTTTCTATAACATAGATGTGGTACTGCATGTGTGTGTCATACCGAGTCAATAATTCCTCTGAGGGCTTGGAAGCCTCCTGTTACTGGAAACACATGTTCCATGGTATCTGCAATAGTTGCAAGCTGCAAAATATAGAAACAGGAAGCAAAACTGAGTTGTTGCTTTAACACATTTGGAACATTTTATTTCTATGTGCATCTTACCTGGGTCTGATTGAAATCTTTGACTCCTACACAATAAACAATGGCGCCCAAAGACCTGGCTCTTTGTGCCTGCAAGGATTGGTTGAATATGTGGTAAGATTTTAGTGTCTGCTTTTCTGCTGATCTAAGAGCACAGTGGATGAAAACAAATTCATCCACTGTGCTAGCTGAGGTTATTTCTATAAATCCATATTGATTTTGAAAAAACGTCAGAATATGAGCACTTTTGTCAAATCTTCATTGTGGTCAGATCATGTCAATTTTTCTTAAATTGACAAAAACTCAACATTATGTATGGCTGGTGAGCTCAGTTGGTCAGCGCGTGGTGCTAATAACGCCAAGGTCATGGGTTCAATCCCCATATCGGCCAATTGATATTTAAAGTCTTCAGAAAATCAATAAAGGAAGTGCGGAGATTAAAATCAACAATTCAAAATATTTTAAAAATCTGCAAATTAAACTATAATACATGTTGAATTTAAAAAAAACAGAATATGAGCATTTTTCTCAAATCTTTATTGTGGTAAGTTTTTCTTAAAACGATGAAAACTCAACAATACTGAAGCAAATTATAAATTACTAAAGTTTTTTTTTTTTTTGTACTCTTGTAACCATTAAACAATCTCCCCTTCAGTTCAACCATATCAGTGGAGACACATTGTTGATGTTACCATTATAAAATAACTTGCACTTAACTTAAGTATTGGCAAAGATTAATGTAACTTTCACAGGTGGCAGAGCGTTGTTGTTAGCAGCTGCTGAAAGTAACCAAAAAAGTTACTTTTAATGTAACTTAGTTACTTTCCAAATCAAGCAATCAGTAATCTAAGTTACTTTTTCAAGGACTAATCAGTAATACGATTAAAGTTACTCTTTCAAAGTAACTATGCCATCTCTGTTCCTAAATTTAAGCCACAAATTCAATCGGTCAACAATTTTCTATAATAAAACTAATTGCAACTGGAGTGGTAATAATCCAAAACAAGGCTGCATGCCATAAAGCTTTTCTCCCCACATTCACACGCATTACCTCACGCTGTGCTGTGTCATACTGTCTTTCCTTCAGTTCCCCATCCGTCAGAGCAATGATGACACTGGCAGTTCCTACAGAGAACATGGAGCATATATGTTTGATTTTGCTATTACATTTAATTGTGCTAAAAAAAAAACATTTCAGATGGAGCTTACCTCGGTTCTCATGGTAAATCTGTGTATTAGCCTGTAGTAGCAAAACACAGGTATCAGTCAATATTCCATCAAAATGGCTTCATACAGTAAAATGGTCACATTTTGGTATTTCTGCTTATCCCGGGAGAAGCAATGAGATTCAATTAGAGATTAATAGAAGTGAATTTAATGCACATATAAATATGTGCCAGTTCTTCTTGTGTAAAATTTACAGTGAATGACTGGAGGAAATATTATCATTTTATCATAAAGGCACTAAAAGTTTAACAGGAGACAAAACATCATGTGACAAAAAAACATGCAAGTCAAGGTGTCATTATATTATAAAAAAAAAAAAAAACTTTACAAAAATGCATAGTTCCCAATTGTGAATTCTAGCATAATAATTAAGACTGCTGACATAACCCTGCACATCGAAGTGTTCAAACCACAGGGAGTTAACCTCTGTCTGCAAACAGTCCGACTTGTTTTGTTTGGAGACTTTTCCAAACTTTGCTTTATGATGTCATCATTTAACATTTTCGCTTACTTGCTTAACTGTCCTAAGTGAAAAACATGGCGATCACTACCAATTACTATGAAATGAGCTGTAAAAGAAGGAGTTTTTAAAAAGACAGGTAGTAAAATGGAATGCTTTGGACACACATACACAGTACCAACAGGCAAAACAGCAGTTTACATTTTTTTCAGATTCAGGTAATTCAGCTAAACCTTTGTTTAACGGAATGATATAAAATCATTGTGCCACAGGGGAGGCATTTAGTACACAAAAAGAATTAATCATACCATCTCCAGGCCTAGGTTCATGCATGTGTCTCCTCCAGGAATAACATCATTCAGAGCCCTCAAGCCTTCGGTTATGGCCTCCCTGAGGAGTAAAAGACCGACATCCAGATTAAAAACAGCCTAAACAAACTGAGGGAGAGTTCTTATTAAAATAAATAGAACAGAGTAGGTAGAGTCAACATGACACAAATGTTTTTGAATCAGGTAGAACCTAGAGTTAGGATGGATGGATGGATGGATGGATGGATGGATGGATGGATGGATGGATGGATGGATGGATGGATGGATGGATGGTGGATGGATGGATGGATGGATGGATGGATGGATGGTGGATGGATGGATGGATGGATGGATAAAACACAGTGTGTTACCTGTTCTCAGTCAACTCCATGATGATTTTTCCTTGTGTGGAGAAGACGATGAAGGACATCCTCAGCATAGGGCTGCAGACACAAAGTTGTTCCACTTCAGCTTTCAGTAGAGACTTAAACAAACATTCCCACAATTTATAGGCATCGTCGTCCATTTTACCTGATAAACTTCTCTGCTAGGTGCTTTACAAAGGAGTATATCTCATTCCAGTGATGCTTCACGCTGCCAGATCTGAAAATCAGCATTTTTCTCAGTTAAAAAAAAGCAACCATAAAATCCATGTATATCAACACAAGAGTGTTAATAGTTTCTTTAGAAAAGATGGAAATGCACCCTACATGCTTCAGAATAAAAGTCACCCCTGTCTCTGCCGAGGTCAACCCTCAGATGATTTAGTAACATTCCTTCAGTTTGGACTGCAACCCCTCATCTGTGAGCTGCTGGTTAGTCTGCTGCATGATGCCACAAACAGAACCGTCTCTTTAAAGCCTGTCTCACAGCGCTGCTAATGGGAGCTAATTGCTGCTGGGCCACAGGGTTGAGGTTAGACAGGGACAGATGCAGCAGTCTGCCTCTAAACAGGGACCGCGTAGCAAGCAGCTGGCCTCTGTTCATGCTATATGTGTTCAAGTGATTGCGTATGTGTGAGTGTGTGTGTCTGGGGTGTGTGTGTGTGTGTGTGTGTGTGTGTGTGTGTATGTGTGTGAGGGGGAACAGATGGTCCCACTATGCAAGGCCAGCCCAACAACAGGTTGGGTGTCCGTCCGCTAGAGTAGAAAAGGCTTTGACATGAACAACAAAGGGAACCATAACTATCACTCAGCAGGGGGGAGATGTCTGAATGTGTGTTACAGGAAGTAACATCAAAGCCCTCTAGCAGCAAATCTGCATGAATTTTAGAGGGTCATAAGCCAAATGAAACACAGAGCCTGTTGGGTTCAAGTGGGATTATTTGTATCCTCCATATAAATGTAGACTTCCCTCTCAATTACCATCTTCTGTGGAATTATCCGATAAACAGAAGAGCAGCAGGAGGAGCTTCCTGCTAGATTCCTATCTTATTGAGAAACTTTGTGTACTAAAGCTCAACAAAAACTCTGCTTTATTTCACTATGTTTGTGAAAAGGATTGGATAAAGTTAAAACAGTCCAGCTGATGTTCTTTTTAGCAAAAAAAAAAGACCTAAGCACATTGTTTGAGCTACATGCATGCAACAGTAACGCACAGCGAAAGAACTTCATATTATTAATGTTCTATAATTTGCAAAGTCAAAACATGGCAAATGTCCTACGATTGTTTTGTGTATTGCTGAAGTTTTTTTGCTTGACTTTTAAGTCAAAAGAAGACAAATCATAAAGACAATATTTTGAGATGGAGATATAAAAAAACAACTTAAAAACATGCTAGCTGCTGATTAACTCAAACATAAGTATGTAAAAATGCAATTGAAACCAGATTCTTATATACAATGTTTAAAAAGATTTTTTTTTTCTCACTATGAGACTAAACATTTCCTGTCAGCCTTGATTATTCAAATAATTTTTCAGCTTTTAAATGGCAGAACAATGAGAGGGAGAAATCTTTTTCACTTATTTTTTTTTTAAATTCAGAAGTGTACATGTCTTTTCTTGATATCTGGTTTCATTTAGGATGTCCTTCCACAAGCTTCTTCCAACAATTTGCTGGACTTTTGGCCTCTGAGCCAGGTTAGTTCAGCTGCCTCACTCGCACACGCCTTTTCTGCTTTCTGTGGGACTGAGACCAGGGCTTTGCAATGCCCACTCCTAAATAATGACTCTGATGTCCTTAAGACACCTTCTAACTAGGCAGTATGAGTGAGGTTATTATCCGTTTGGAAGACCCATTTGTGGTATAACTTCCTGGCTGATGTTCTGAGATGTTGCTTCAATATTTCCACATAATGTTCTTTCCTCAAGTCATCTAATTTGTAAAGTAACCCTTCTTTCCTGAAACAAAATATCACCATGTCAAGAAGGAATGCACTGATTGCAATTTTCTGGCTGATCGGCAATTATCAATCTTTAAAAAGACTGACCTGCCGATTCTGATTCTGGCCAATATCATTTTTTCTTCTTCTTTTTGTTGTCTTAAATGTTGTAAATATAGAAAGATAGTTGCTGCATTGGTAACGGTAGTCTGACTAACATGCAGACATGACCTGGTCTACCAGTCAAACTGAGGACAGTGGTTGAGTTTTGGACCTTCACAGAAGTAAATAAGATCAGAGGATATGATCAGTTTCACATGTAGTTGTCGGCCGATCACCGATCTCCCAAAATGAAGGAAATATGCGCCGATAAATTTCTGCTGGCCAATAAATCGGTGCACCCCTAATTCTCAGGCTTTCAAGCTTCACTTTTTTCCTGCACCTAAACACTTAAACTTTAGTTTAATTAAATTACAGAACATATTTTATAAAAATAGAAGTAGTTGTCCCAAAGTATGTTTTCTAACTACAAATCTGACATTTTAAGTTGCTTTCTATGTAATAGCCTTCTTTTTTTCTGAGTCGGCTTTCTGCCCATATCCTTATGACTCTCTTACCAGCTTCAACCAGCCTCCTTACAAGGTCTTTTACTTTGACTTCAGGGTTGTTATGCATATTTCTCACCAAAACATGCTCATCCCTGGAACACAGAGCCGGTGTTCTTCCTGAGCGGAATGCCTGCTGGATATTCCTGCTATGTCTATACGCTCTTAATTATTTGAACAGATGAATGTGGTGCATTCAGCCATCAGGAAACTGTAAGGAATAAACCAAACTGGTGGAGGTTCACAGTTCCTCTTCTTGATATTTCTATTTATTTTTCAATAATGTCAGAGGGGAAAGCTGTGCTGTCTTAAAATACATTCATAGGCTTGAATCCATTTAGCTCAAAGGTTGTGAATTACTCTATCCATACTTCTTGAAGTCATGACATTATCTCTGGGCTTTACAAAGTTATTGAACGACAGCGTAATCTTATGATCTGAATAACTTTTGAATTCAAAGTAAGAGGAAAA